TTTTTTTCCCTTGAAAGTACGCTCCAACTCACTTCGGTGTACAAGGGCTCGGAGAATTCCTTTTGAAACAGAAGTTCAGCCGACCTCGCGCAACCACACGGCCGACAGAGGTCGCAGGTACGTTTCCAAAATCTGACACGAAAAACATACGTACGCAGGTGAGTGAGCGGCGGATCGAAACGCGTGTCCGTGTGTAAACGCGGAACTTACACGAGTATCAGCGTAACGTCGATTATGTAGAGGATGAACGCGATGATCGAAAGAGAGCCCATCGTTATGAGGTGGCACATCAAAGGCCTATGTACGAACAGCAGATAAAACGCAACGACCGCGAAGAATATCATGCCCAGCAAGGAGAAAAGGAACATCTGCAATGAAAATGTCTCGTGATCGACGTTTGAGCAATTCTTTTCTTTTTTTTTTTAATGTCATCACCGGCATCATGTTCAGCTCTCCCCCAACGAATTGGGTAATTATGTCGAGCGACAAGACGAAAACGTAGGCCCCGCAGATGGCCATCAGTAAAATGCATATTACGGACGGCAGGGTATAGTCAGGCAGGCTTGTCGTGTAAATGACGAGCAGAAAGATGAGAACCACCACCAGCTAGTCGACGAAAATGAAAAGTCTCGTTTTAACGGCCAGTTTCATCTTATGGTTACTCCGTTTTTGCGATCAATACTCACGAACTGGAATAATCTAACTGGTTTTATTGCTAATCGAATTATTGTGTTTTTGTTATTGCTCAATCCCCATTTAGAGCTCGATTTGTTATTCAAGGGGCGCGCATTTTCCTTACTCGGAGCTGGAAAAAATGGTCCCGTGTAACAAGATGAGGCGAGAGAGAGAGAGAGAAGCGGGAGGAGGATAGGTGGCAAATAGTGAAACCTTCGGGCTCCATGATCGTCGACTTTTGAAAAGTTTTATCAGCTTCCTGTCATCGAGCGAACCTCTGTCATCGTTCATCAGACATTTCACGCGTGATCCAGTTTTTTGTTTATTGTCACGTTATATCGATGCATCGCGTACCGATAGACTTGCAATCTTTTTCGTTCCGAGATCATATTCAGATGAGTGCCGTGATCGTATCGAATGAGTTGCTACGAGTTTCGTTGAATCGCAATTTAGTGAATTGGTCGAAGGACCACGGATGCGGGATTTGGAACTGAAAATTAAATGATAAAAAACATTTGTTATTTGTCCATCGCTTGTTTTGTACATGTACTATATATGTATATATGTATATGTATGTATGGCATACGCTACAATAAGTTGCTTTTCTATATATTTTTCAACGATAGGTTTTATTTATTTTGCTTATAAAATTACGTCACGAGTGATTGTCGATGTAAAGATGTTAACTCGCGAACATCTTGCGTTACAAGACTTCGAATAATAATGTTAAAAATTGGACGGAATTTCGATAAAGACACGTGAATTTCTGTTAAATCTATACGATAGATCTAGACGTTGATAAACAGTGTGTAACAAAGAGAAATCGTAATTTTCGATGCTACAGTTAACAACATATAAAATGTAATCTATAACTTTTACTAATTAAATCTAAAATATTCATGGCAATTCTGAGATTCGTAACACATATGATACAGGTAAGAAGTAGAGATTATCGATTATATCACTTAAATAGAACGCTACACTAATTGTACAGACTTTGGATTACAAATATATATATTATATTTAATATATAGATCTTTATAGCCTTTTAAAAATACGAAATACACGTAACGTAGAAAATCTT